AAAGCAGTAAGTTCGCTAACATTTTGAATGAATTTGGAGATAAAATCCTTAAAAAATTGTTAACATTTTAAAAATAGCGAATATAGCCGTTATATTGGTGTCTATACGACGTGGACCTACATAGGCATTTGCCATAAGTCATTACCATATTCAAATTCGATACTTGAAATAAAAGGTGAATAATGTGGCAAAAATCATCATAACCATTCTGCCATAGGCTGTAGCATTTATTACGAATTTCAAATACGCGTCTCAAACAATTTCGGAGGGTATTGTACCTAAACTCGTCAAAATACCGTATATAGGGAGGTACTGGTATGTGGGGCTTACAGGAAGACCTGGACATGCATACACAATTTTCTGTCACAGACTGTAGTTCCCATTACGAACTCTAAATACGTAATTTGAAACAATTCCGGTTAATAACGTCGCTAAAATCATCAAATTACTGAATATTGGGAGGTACCGTTATATGGGGGCTATACGAAGACGTGGACCTGCACAGACAGTTTTCTGTCTTAGGCTGTAGTATCTATTTCAAACTTCAAATACCAAATTTTAAACAATTCCGGTTAATAATGTCGCTAAAATCATCAAAATACCGAATATAGGGAGGTACTGTTATATGGGGGCTATATGAAGACGTGGACCTGAACAGACAATTTCCTGTCTTAGGCTAAAGTATCCATAACGATTTTTAAGTACCAAATTTGAAACAATTCCGGTGAATAATGGCGCTAAATGCATCAAAATACCGAATAACGGGATGTACTGTAATATTGGGGCTATACAAAAACGTGGACTAAAATCATCGAAATACCTAATATCGGGAGGTACCATTACATGGGACTATACGAAGACGTGGACCTGCACAGACAATTTTCTGTCATAGGCTGTAGTATCCATTACGAATCTTAAGTACCAAATTTGAAACTATTCCGGCGAATAATGTCGCTAAAATCATCAAAATACCGAATATCGGGAGGTACCCTTATATTGGGGCTATATGAAAACGTAGACCTGCATGACCCATTTACGAACTTAACCTGCCTACTGGAAAAATAAACATGTGTGCAAAAGTTTAGCCACCTATTCTCAATTCAAAGATAGCGTGATTACAACAGACAGACGGACGGACATGGCTAAATCGACTTCGAATTTTACGCTGATCAAGAATATGTATACTTTGCTGGGTCTGACATGAGTATTTCGAGGAATTACCAACTGAATGACAAAGTTGATATACCCTCCATAGTATGGTGGAGGGTATAAAATACAACTGATCTACCATATTTCGGATGACTGTTGAAACTCCCCAGTGGATCAATTAAACAGAGGAAAACAAAAAATTATCAATCCCCACATCGAATATTCCTCTCGGATATTCGGGAGTTGGTGCTCAAAACCCACCCTACCTTTGACTTTAGATATGACCCATGTTCGATTTTGTCTAAAGTCCCTACAATTGATCATTAGTTTGTTACGTGTTCACACCCGATAGAAAATAATGAGAAAACTAGAACTTCATGACGAATTCAATATTTATTCTAAAGGGTATATTACACATGGATTTATATTTATGATATAAAACTAACCAGTTAATTTAAAACTATGCTTAATATCCACTATCTAAAAATTTTTTACACTCATTATAAATTTTATGATTCAACAATATATAATTATTATAGTAAGTAACAAATAATGTGATTGATTGACGAGTACGTTCGAATGACTGTAGCGCACAGCTTAAAAAAACAAGCAAACATCAGTTGGGAAGTAATTAAGTAACAAACAATGTAAAAATTAGAACCAAGAAAAAAACAATAGGTCTGATCGCTTGGTTTGCTTGTTGCTATGCAAAACAGTCATTAATCACAAATCCCAATCAATGATTGCAAAGCAAAAATCATTATCACAACAACAAAAATAAACGTTTACTGGTATAACTCACCACTTACATGTTTGCTGTTGCAGCTTCTGGACGAGGCCCCGTCCTCTGCATGAAGTAATCAATATCAATATAATCTAAACCTGCCATATCGCAATATTTATATCATAGATATATAGGTCAGAAACGAAATAGACAATGTCGCCCACTCCTTCGGAACCACTCCTCCGGTCCTGAAATAGCTTTTTTCATTTACAATAATATTGACCGATCACTTATGCTCACAAACACTTTTAAAACATAAGCGAACTAAAAAATACACATAAATATCCAAATATATTGTAATATATTTATGGTCACCTAATTGAAATGGTTTTGTTCTTTTGCAAAAATCGACCAATGAATTATTGCAAAAAAAATCCATTCATGTTTTTTTTTTGGCATAAAAAATCTAAAAAGCAAAGAAACTTATTAAGCCCTATTTTATTTGATTCTTCACTGTTCGTGTTACTCATTGATAATGTAAAAACTGTTTTATAGTCTATGTGAAATTACGGAACGTGATGTTTAGTTATAAATGGGATAAGAATGCGAAAAAATAATTCTTCACATCATCTAAATAATGAACTATATTTCCTTTGTTCATACGTCAAATAAAATTCACTACGTAATGCCTCACAATTCATTTAAAATATACGCCATGAAATTGATGAACCCACTGGATTGACTATATGTAAACATGCTTCTTGAAAGGACGAAGGAAAAATTTGGTTTGTTTTTTTACCAAAACTTTAATTTTGCAAGTATTGCATAAGATTGTATATTACATTAAAGCAGATTAAATAGGTTGACTTCCGCAAGCGATTAAAAAGTGCACTTTAAACTGAAATTATTGTTAGCATTGCGGAGAACTAATTACGTGAAGAGAAGAAACAATTAAAAAATCAGCTAAGTTCGGCCGGGCCAAACTTTTGATACCCTCCACCTATTGAAAGGAACTTGAGAAATTTAAAAAAAGAAATTGACAAAAAATTAAACCCGTTATGTGGGGCCTAGACGAAGACGTAGATCTGCATAAATAATTTACTGTCACAGGCTGCAGTACCGATTCCGAACTTCAAATACTAAATTTAAGACAATTCCGGGAAATAATGTCGCTAATATCATCAAAATACCGAATATCGGGAGGTCCCGTTATATATGGGCTACACGAAGACGTGGGCCTGCCTATGTAATTTCGTGTCATAGGCTGTAACTCCCGTTAAAATTTTCACATACGAAATATGAAATAGTTTCGGTGAATAATGTCGCTATAATCATCAACATACCGAATATTGGGATGTGCCGTTTATGAGGCCTATAAGAGAACATGGGCCTGCATATGTAAATTTTAATTGGCTGTAGTACCCATTAAAATCATCAAATATATAAGAAAGCGTGGACTGCCATGGCCCATTTTCGAACTTAACCTGCAAACACATGTGTGTAAGATTTTAGTCTTCTATCTCAATTCGTTCGAAAGATACCATGATATCAACAGACAGCCAAACAGACCATTGCTAAATCGACTTAGAATTTTACGATGATCAAGAATATATACAGGGTGAGATAAAAAACTGTAACAAAGAAACTGTACATATATTTTTTTAATTTTATTGAATGAAAGCAAAAAGTGTCGGAAATTGCATCAAATTTTGGAATGACTTTAGATTTGTTCGGATTGGTCATCCTTGGCACGAATTATGGCCTTCAAAAAGCCAACGAAACCGTCACTCTGCCCGAATGTTGCTCTGTGGTATTTTGGACCATTCCCGGCGAAAGGCTTGCTTGAGGTGATCGACACCTTGGTATTTTTTAGTGCCAACCATGCTTTCCAAAATACCCCAGACACAACAGTCCAACGGATTGGTATCCGTAGATTTTGGTGGCCATTGTGCGCTGGAAAAGAAGCGAGGAACCTCATTTTGTAACCATTCTTGGGTGGCGCGTGCTGAGTGCGATGGTGCAGAGTACTATTGGAATGTTCAAGGTCTGGGGCCAAAATATTTGCGTGCCCAAAGCTTTAATATACCCTTCAAATATTTTCGCGATAATATACACGTTGCTGCACAAAGAATGTTTTTTTATTTATTCTGATGCAACGTCCATTAATACGAGCGGAGAGCGGCTGTTATTGCGGCCCACACCATCATCATGGCCGGCGCTTGAGTTCTGGTGGCCAACCAAAGGTGCACATTTTCAGCTGACCTCTTTTTCAAGTAAACTCGATCATTTTGTTTGTTTACAAACTGCTGGACAATAAATGTTTTCTCATCGAAGAAGAGCAAATTCGGCAGTTTACCATTTTCGTTCAATCGAAGCAACTCTTCAGCTCTTTTGATTCTATTTTCTTTCTGTGGCGGTTTAAGTTTTTCCACTTTTTGGAATTTCAATGGCTTTAACCCGAGCCCATTTTTCAATATTTGCCGAATGGTATATTGCGATATGTTCAGCTCACGAGCCATTTTTCGGCCACTGCTACGCGGGTTTCGATCAAGTCGCTTCTTTACTTTTCGAACCATTTCTGCTGATGTTGCTGTTTTCTTCCGTTCATTCCTTAATGTCGGGCTACGCTACCAGTATCACGGTAACGAGCGATGGTACGAGATACACAAGATTTATTCACATTTAAATGCTGGAGTGCTCTAACGATAGCCATTTGTGGTTTTCCAAATATAAAGAAATCACACAATCACGCTTGAATTCCACGAATTGAATTTCACGAATAACCAACATACTTTTGTACGCTTGTAAACAATATAAAGAGCTGTCACTGGAATAATTTTAACACCTGCCGGATGAGTGGCTTAGAAATAACAGTAGTCTGAAGTTGGTTGCAGTGTTTTCATGTCACCCTGTACTTTGTTGGTTCCGACATAAGTCTTTCGAGGAGTTACAAATGAAATGGCAAAGTTAATAAACCCTCAAGAGTATGGTCGAGGGCATAAAAATTCAGAAACATTTAAATAAAATAAAATAATTGAAAAGTCAATTTATTTTAATGAAAAGTTAAATTAATGTAATCATAAATCTATTGCACATGTGCAATTATGGTAAATTTTAAATTACTTACTTAAACATTATAAGGCCCCAATTGTCCGCCGGTTGCATGAGAGAAAGACCTGGTATCGCAATAACATCAATTTTTTTCAGTGGCAATGAGCTATTGAAGTACTCTTCCAAATGGTTGTATATGGTGACCAGTTTCTTATGAACTTCCTAAACATAATAAAAAGAAAAATATTATATATATATATATATATATATATAATATAATATAATATAATATAATACAATATAATATAATATAATATAATATAATATAATATATATAATATAATATAATATATATAATATAATATAATATAATATATATAATATATATATATATATAATATATATATATAATATAATATAATATAATATAATATAATATAATATTAATATAATATATATATATAATATAATATAATATAATATAATATAATATATAATATAATATAATATAATATAATATATAAATTATATAATAATATAATATAATATATTAAATATAATATATATAATATAATTAATATAATATATATAATATAATATAATATAATATAATATAATATAATATAATATATATAAATATATATAATAATATAATATATATAATATAAAATAATATAATATAATATAATATAATATAATATAATTATATTAATATAATATACTATAATATAATATAATATAATATAATATATATAATATAATATAATATAATATAATATAATATAATATAATATAATATAATATAATATAAATATATATAATATAATATAATATATATAATATAATATAATATAATATAATATAATAATATAAATATAAATAATATAATAAAAATAATATAATATATATAATATAATATAATTAATATAACATAATATAATATAATATATATATATAATATAATATAATATAATATAATATAATATAATATAATATAATATAATATATATAATATAATATAATATATATAATAAATATAATATAATATAATATAATATATATAATATAATATAATATAATATTGAGGGCTATACGAAGACGTGGACCTGCAAGACAATTATCTGGCATGGCTGAAGTATCCATTACGAACTTCACATGCGAAATTTGAAACAATCCCAGTAAATAATGTCGCTAAAATCATCAAAATACCGAATATCGGGGTACGGTATATGGGGCTATACGAAGACGTGGACCTACATGGCCCATTTTCTGTATTATGCTGCAGTATCTGTTACGAACTTCAATACTAAATTTGGAACGATTCCGTTAATAATGTCGCTAAAATCATCAAAATACCGAATATCGGGGGGTACGGTATATGGGGGCTATACGAGACGTGGACCTGCACAGATAATTTCCTGTCTTAGGCTGTAGTATCTATTACGAACTTCAAATGCCAAATTAAAAAAATTCCGGTGAATAACGTCGCTAAAGTCATCAAAATACCGAATATCGGGAGGTACCGTTATATGGGGGCTATATGATAACTTGGACCTACATGGACCATTGACGAACTTAACCTGCCTACTGGCAAAATATACATGTGTGCAAAATTTTAGCCTTCTATCTCAATTTGTTCGAAAGATAGCGTGATTACAACAGACAGATAGACACACAGACAGACGGACATGGCTAAATCGTCTAGAATTTTACGCTGATCATGAATATATATACTTTGTTGGGTCTGACATGAGTATTTCGAGGAGTTACAAACGGAATGACAAAATTAATATATAATTTTGCGAAACACATTCGTTTTATTGTGTGCTCTGTTTTGTCTGGCACCGGCAACTTGTTATTGTTTTTATACGTCGAAATGCGTTCCAATTATTGCGTCGATCTTCTGCTCGATTCTGTGGGCTCTTCCCTTTTTGACAACCGTAACGGGGCTTTATTACATTTGTTTTTGTTTTCGACAGAAGCAAATTCTTGTTAGGCTCATTGTACAAAAACATGTTCCCCACTCTCATTGCTTTCAGCACTGTTTTCACCTTGCTTATTATTCTTGCGTATTTTTTCTCCAAATATTACGTCATCTTTTACTGCTACTTTGCCTACCGAAATAAAATTGCATTGTGTGTCAGGCACAAATAACACATCGTTAAGCACAACGTCACCCTCATTTATAAGAACTCTCCCCTTCCCATTTGCTAGAATTGTTTTATTACAAGCCAGGGAGATTTCTTCTTGGTGTTCCTCAAACGTCGTAAACAAATTACGGTTAGAGCACAAATGTGAAGAGTCGCCGCTATCAAAACACGTTCTTATTGACATTGTTGTTGTCAATCGTCGCCATACTTGTGTACGCACGCTCCTTTCGCTTTTTGTCTGCTCTTCGACATCTTACGTTGTTGTTGTTGCTTGTGTACGATCTGTTATCACTGCTACCTTTCTTGTTGTTGGGGTTTTGCCTATTTGCGTTGTAATTTCTTCTATTGTCTTTGTTGGAATTTCGGTTTAGTGGAAATGGCATCATTTATGTCCACTAAAAATTTCTTCTTTCATTTTCTTCAGACAATTTGACTTATAATGCACTTAACTTAGGTAAATTGTCTCTAGATTCCAGAGCAACCACAAAATTTTCATAAGATCTTCGCCTAGCTCGATACCTGCCTCTGCCAACTTATCCACGACGGACGTGAATTGAGGTAGGTATTCTTGAACGCCTTCGTTATCTGCCATCTTCATATTGAGTAGCTGTTTAAACAATGATACCTTTCTTATTGGCCCTTTTGGTCGATGGATTTCTGATAAGCTGTTCCAAGCATCTTTCGCTGTTTTGCAGTTTTTTATGTGAGACAACTGCACTGGTGTGATGCTTAACACAATTGTTGACGTAGCCTTTTCATCTTTTTTCTTAAACTCAGAAGTCTTTTCGGCAGCCTCTTCGTCGCAGATCACCTTCCATAGATCCTGATGCACCAGCACGGCTTTCCTCTGAAGATACTACGATTCATAATTTTCTTCTGACAATTTCTCAATGCTCAAGGTCGAAGACATTTTTCTTTAATTTGATGTCGACACAAGACTTACAATTGACACACAGTTTTCAAATTATTTTGTCTTGAGGTTAACACACAACACAGATATTTTAAAATGGTAAAATGTTTCTCTAATGTTCACTTTATTTTTAGGCACTTTAATTTCATTGTTTAAATAAAACGCACATCTGCTCTCGGTCGATGTTTTATTCAGAGTGAAACTTATTCTACTTGCACACTACACAAGTCAACTTAACGCTGAGAACAAATCTATGTACAAGTCAGTGTGTGGATCACACTAAGTGATCTTCGCATAATTATTCCTAATGTGTGTTGTGTTGTAAGAGCGTAACGTGGACATTCAATAATTACAAAACATATATTATATTATGTTATATTACAATACATATATATATATATATATATCTATATATAATATATATATATATATATATATATATTATATATATATATATATATATATATATATATATATATATATCTATATAATATAATATAATAAAATATAATATATATAATATAATAAAATATAATATAATATTATATAATATAATATAATATAATATAATATAATATAATATAATATAACATATATATATATATATATAATATATATATAATATAATAATATAATAAAATATAATATATAATATAATAAAATATAATATAATATTATATAATATAATATAATATAATATAATATAATATAATATAACATAATATAATATAATATAATATAATATAATATAATAATAATATAATATAATATAATATAATATATATAATATAATATAATATAATATAATATAATATAATATAATATATATATATAATATAATATTGAGGGCTATACGAAGACGTGGACCTGCAAGGACAATTATCTGGCATGGGCTGAAGTATCCATTACGAACTTCACATGCGAAATTTGAAACAATCCCAGTAAATAATGTCGCTAAAATCATCAAAATACCGAATATCGGGGGTACGGTATATGGGGGCTATACGAAGACGTGGACCTACATGGCCCATTTTCTGTATTATGCTGCAGTATCTGTTACGAACTTCAAATACTAAATTTGGAACGATTCCGTTAAATAATGTCGCTAAAATCATCAAAATACCGAATATCGGGGGGTACGGTATATGGGGGCTATACGAAGACGTGGACCTGCACAGATAATTTCCTGTCTTAGGCTGTAGTATCTATTACGAACTTCAAATGCCAAATTAAAAAAATTCCGGTGAATAACGTCGCTAAAGTCATCAAAATACCGAATATCGGGAGGTACCGTAATATGGGGGCTATATGATAACTTGGACCTACATGGACCATTGACGAACTTAACCTGCCTACTGGCAAAATATACATGTGTGCAAAATTTTAGCCTTCTATCTCAATTTGTTCGAAAGATAGCGTGATTACAACAGACAGATAGACACACAGACAGACGGACATGGCTAAATCGTCTAGAATTTTACGCTGATCATGAATATATATACTTTGTTGGGTCTGACATGAGTATTTCGAGGAGTTACAAACGGAATGACAAAATTAATATATAATTTTGCGAAACACATTCGTTTTATTGTGTGCTCTGTTTTGTCTGGCACCGGCAACTTGTTATTGTTTTTATACGTCGAAATGCGTTCCAATTATTGCGTCGATCTTCTGCTCGATTCTGTGGGCTCTTCCCTTTTGACAACCGTAACGGGGCTTTATTACATTTGTTTTTGTTTTCGACAGAAGCAAATTCTTGTTAGGCTCATTGTACAAAAACATGTTCCCCACTCTCATTGCTTTCAGCACTGTTTTCACCTTGCTTATTATTCTTGCGTATTTTTCTCCAAATATTACGTCATCTTTTACTGCTACTTTGCCTACCGAAATAAAATTGCATTGTGTGTCAGGCACAAATAACACATCGTTAAGCACAACGTCACCCTCATTTATAAGAACTCTCCCCTTCCCATTTGCTAGAATTGTTTTATTACAAGCCAGGGAGATTTCTTCTTGGTGTTCCTCAAACGTCGTAAACAAATTACGGTTAGAGCACAAATGTGAAGAGTCGCCGCTATCAAAACACGTTCTTATTGACATTGTTGTTGTCAATCGTCGCCATACTTGTGTACGCACGCTCCTTTCGCTTTTTGTCTGCTCTT